ATATATATATATATATATATATATATTTTGCCTATACAAACAAATACATATACATATACATGTATATACACACACACTAGTAAACTTTAACCCCTTTATAAGACAATGGAATCTGAAACTTAATATTTCATTATCTCTAGGCTAGAATTTTTGTGATCTCAAATACGTCAATTATTTGAAAATTTTGTCTTTGTAGTACCTAAGGGTATAATTAGTGATTATTAACAAATGGTATTTGTTGCAGCCATACATGTAATATTAATTTTTTTATGATCAATGCAAGATAAATGAAAGGAGGAGTATGTTAAGGACGTGAAGAGGCATGGAAAGAAGTTGTGATCTCTAAAAATTTACTAATTAGTTATATGAAAAAAAAATTAATGACAATTCTCTAAAATTTTGCCACATAGCTTTTAGAGATTCTCTTTTAGTACAAAGATAAAAGATAAAGGCTATAGTGATGAAATTAGGCAAGAAAAGACTAACATAATTAGGTGTGAGAAATTAAAAGGCATTAATAATAATGAGCTCCTAGAAATGTGCAGAAGTTTATTTGGAAAGAAATTGAAAGGTCAATTAAAGGGAGCTCATGTATGTAATTAGTAAGAAAATAAAATAAGTTATTTAGGTAGGAGATTTTGGGAGGGATGATTAATAGTCAAGCTTCTAGAAATGTGTCATGTGTCAATGCTCCAAAATTTCGACACGCGACATCTTAGGGTATTACTTTAGTGTGTGTGTAGAGAGAGAGAGAGATGCGCTACTATCCATTTGAGTGGATAGAGGCACTTTTCCACCTAAGTTTTCAGCCATTAGATTTATATGATTAATGAGTTCTTGATAGCTAATGTGGCGTTAATCCATGGCAAGAGGGGTAATTAGGGGAAAAAAGCTAATATCAAAAAAAGAAAGGAAAAAAATCAGCTAAAAACATGGGTTTCACTAAACAAAAATCAACCACCTTCATCTATCTACATATATTTTTCTTCTTTGTGGAGAAGGAACTCGCCGTTCCCTTCTCTCCGCCACAAGCGCCTCTTCACACCCAAAACTGAGATAGTTATCACATTATTAATATCCCAATCCAAATAGATTCCTAAAAAAGATCCTATTGCAAGTCGAACTGGATCTATGACAATATTTTAACAAAGAAAATTAATGTTTGGCTCCCATTTGATTACTACTCATTAGATGAGTGGATGAGTATATATGTGTGCATTAGAAATTAATATATTCCGTCTGTACCTTCTAATTGCTGAAGTGAAAAGCCTAACTTCTTCTGGTGAGCCATAACGATCATAGAAATCATCAAGGATGCATGAAATCATAGCGAACTTTGTAAGCACCTTCCTAAACTTTGAAAACTTCGGCTCTGATGCAATTTGATTTGCCCAAAGGTAGCTCTCAAACAAATGATCTCTAAACAATTGAACCTTCTTTGTCAAACCGACTTTTTGCCACCATCTAATATAACATGCCAACAGATACAATATAAAATAGGTTAGATTGTTAGTTGCAGATACGTCTGCTGTATTATGAAAACATATCCACTTATACCTTGTAAACTATTTTATAGCACCTGCAACATCTAAACTCCAAATGGCATTACTTTCTGTAGAATGAGAAGTTAAATGGGAATTATATGATATAAATTTCTTTTTTATAGAGAATTTAGTCTCTTTCAGGTAAATTTATTGCAGAAAAGTAATTATCATCATGTGATGCACAATTCACATTTCAATCTAAACGGATACATAGTGCCATCTAGGATTTAAGGGTGTCAGTGCTAACAAAATAGTTTACAAAATGAAATTAGCCATAAAAATACACTAAAACCCTGCAAATTTGCTATGTAGACCAAGAATATTTCTTGCCCTGTGGGTTCCATGTGAAGTATTTGCAATTTTATAAGTGTGGGACCCATTGAAGTAAGAAATATTATCCGTTTACATATCAGATTTATATTATTTCTCTGCAACCAAATCAAAGATTTAAAGCACGTATAAATGACTACCCCCATTAGTATTGAGGGTTTATATGCAATTAATCCTATAATATATGAGGTAACTGTGAAAAGTCTGACCTCGATACTTCTTTCACCTCTGATTGGTACAAGGCCTGACTAACATTGAAGTCTAGCTTGGCAAGCTCAAGCAAACATGAGATTTTTCTTTCTTCTTTCTCATACAGAACAATATAATCCCTAGCTACAATCCTTGGCATCAAATGATGTAATGGAGCCTCAAGAGACTGTTTAATTAGCTCAGCTAGATTTGAGTCGTCATCTTCCCTTGTCAACATTTCTTTTAGGTGCTTAACGCTGAATTCTTTAGCCTCATCTAGTATATTCTCCTCAGGAAATCCGAGATGGGCAGCTTCATATAAGCTCAATAATCCCTTTGCATCTTGAGCTAAGCAATTCATAAATCCTTTGCTGTCTCTGAACTTATTAAATACATCTATTAAAAAATAATTGAAATGCATGTTAGGGGGAAAATTTTTAATTTGGAAGTGAACATACACTTTGAGGTTAAAAATCTATATGGTCGTAGCTTATAAAATTTTGTTTTATATTGAGTTCTGAAAAATGCATGATGGGCTAGAGCTATTGTGGCGAACTGATCAGCTTGATTAATCATGATCTATATGCTCTTAAACGATTGTGGATAAAAACAAAATCATCTTTGTGTGAGGTTCACATTGTGTGTAGGGTAAATTTTACAGAACCCTAAGACTTGGGAGTTTTGCACAAAATCCCTATAAAGCAAAGAAAATCCCCTAAATTTTAAATGTTTACTAACCTCTCCTAAACTATCAGAAAATCTCATAAACTTCATTCTGTGTAAAAGGTCTAAAAATGTGATTCTCTTGTTATGTTTGTTCTCCCGCATGAATGTTTTTCATTTAAAACATTCATCACAAATTAAATTCATCTTAAACTTATTACTCCATCCGTTGACGTGTTTATGAGATTTTCCAATAGGCCAATAGGTTTTGTAAAGTTTTGAATGTTCATAGGGCTTTTTATCTGACTTATATCCCAAAATTCAAGGGAACTTCCTGAAATTTACCCTTTGTTTTATTCGTTAAGGTGATCATGAATGAACTTTGAGTATGAACATGAATACCTAAAACACAGCAAAAAAATTTGTGTATACTAGATATCAGTTATTGTGCATTTTTATATTTGAGAGATATATAAATTCAATTTGAAATTTGGTTATCCATACCAGAGGACACATTATAGCCATGTTGTCGTAAGAGCCTAAAGCAAAGTGCAGTCTCATTCAAACCATGAAGTGATTCACGCCCCTCCTTCTGCATCCTTGCAAGTAAATTTCCAATCTCCTCACTGAAATAGTAGGCGAGGCCTAACCGGCTGATCTTGTCGATGAGTTCAAGCTCAACTGTCGGAACATCCGATGCACTAAAAAAGTGCTTGACCTTAATCTTCAGCTCCTCAATCCTTTTTCTAAATTCACCATCCTTAGAGAACAACAAAGGAAGATATTATTTTTTTGACAATACTTTGCCAATCATTTAATGAACAGTTAAATTGATGTGCACTGAATAAAAAGTGAAAATGAGTGTAACCCAAGGTATAGACATGCTATTACTTAAAATAAGCCCAACCTCTAGTTTGTATGAGCTTCAATTTTGAATTCTAAAAATGCCCTCATATATGGAAGAAAAGACAATACCCTTATACATGAAAAAATCAACAGAAATGCCCTCACACCTAGAAAATCAAAGGAAATGCCCACAACACTTGGAACCCCCTCCCCCCCCTGCCGGGCGCCCCCACCCCTCCCAAAAAAAAGAAAATAAAAAGGGAAAACCCAAACAAACAAATTATCTATTATCTTGACAATTCGACTACATCTCTCCTCTAGGTATCATACATGCATCATGTCCAATGGAATATTAGTTATTAGTTATATCTCCTGTATCTTTCAATCACTTACAATTGTCTGGCAATATATAAGGCTTATATATTACGAGACAATTGTGAGTGAGAAAGTGATCTCTTTATGGTTGCAAGGGGAATCGAAATCCTAGGTGAATACACAAATCTCTCAATTGCAGTTAAAAAACAGTGTCAAAATGAATTCAAGATTTTTAGTGTTAATTACATATACACCCTCTGTATGCTGGCAGTTAGCCACTTAAATCCCTAATAACTTTTCCATTAGCACTTTGACCCCTGATCCCAAAACAGAGTTATCTCCATGTTATTTGTAACCATGACATGTATACCATGTTACATGAATATAGAGTTATGTCCATGTATTTGTACCCCTGATCCCAATACAGATTTTCAGATATCTCAGTGCGTTGCAGGGATTGGGAGAGCCCATATTTTATTATATGTGTTGAATATACAGCGCCAAAAGTATAGGTACGAGAGATAACCCTGTTTCAAACATAACAATATCTAAATGCTAGTGCTGATATAACATTTCAGAGCTAATAAGAGACTAAACTCCTATGGTATACAGTTTATGTCATTGAACTCACTGCATAAGGGCTTTGGATAGATTGGATGAAGTCATGGTCCCAGTTTGTAGGATGATCGTCTGAAGATCGCCGGTGTACTGCGTAGCTCAGTGTGGCTTGTAACAATGTACTATTGTTGTGTGCGGATAAAAACCTCCTAGGCTTCTGCATGTTCATAGAGAAAATATCAGAAGATCAATGTTATACATGTCAAAAATTTAGACTTGGTTTTGATCCTATTAGTCTTTCCGATAGATCATTATCAATTGACTTAAACATGAAGTAAAACAAATTTTGAGTTTGTCTTCGTAACATATTTGCTATATGAAATAGTAAGCGTGCTATTTCAGCAATTATTAACCCATCTATTTTGTCTACCAATATTTTAGAAAGCGCTAGGCATTTCTAGGCATCAGACCTGCCCAAGTGCATAAGAGGACTCTTAAACGGCAGATGTTTTTAACATCAAGAGAAAGGATTGTTTTCGAAGATTCAAATCATATCTTCATTGGTTTACTTGAGATAGACTTGGACATAGATTTTAATCTCCAGTATATTTAAACTTAGCTAACTGTCTTCGATAATTACTATGCGTAAACGGGTAATATACTTCTTTTTAATAGCGTACAATTTGCGTAAGCAGCCTGTTCTCCCCTAAGTGCTCCAAGACTTAGATGAGCCGCCTAGATATCGTTTAGGTTTATGCAGCTACCTAGGTGGGCGTCCTGACCGCTTTTTAAAACAATGTTGTCTACCCATTATTTCTTAAGATATGTAAAAAAATAAGAAGTTTCTATAGGATATTAATTCACTATAAAAGAGATGTTTAGTGATGATGACGATGTTTAAGCGAGCAAGTAAGAGTAACAGAAAGAAGATTCTGGTAATCTTCTCAATTGACTTCATCTTTCACCATATATGTAGATTTAGATGAGTGAGATTAGGGAGTTTCCTTTTTTTTTTTTTGCTGTGTACTTTTTAATTAGTGAATCGCTCCTTCTGCCTTTGCTCATGGACGTAGGTCAAGATATGAATCGTATCATCTTGAATACTTGTGCCTTGTTCTCTTTGTCTTTATAAGCTACATACAACTTTGCTCTCACTCTAGTTTGTGCTTAAATCTCCGATATGGGGAAAAAAACATTCCTACAACAGTCTTAACTGTTATCATTATGGTATTCTGCTAGTTTTTAATTATATTTAAGAATAAGACTAAGTTCATCTTGTACATCAATCATCCACGTGCAATAGGTATCTTTTTCACCACCATCTCCATAAAAATATTATCTCATTTCTTTTCTAAATTTAGACTTCCTGGAGGTATAATATGCTACCAGTACTAAATAAAGGGTTTTTTCCTAGAAACCACCTTAAAATAGGTAATTATATGAAAACCATCTTTCATTTTTAATTTATACATAAATCATCTTTCATTTTTAATTTATATATAAACCATCTTTAAAGTTGGTTTTTGTTGCAATCAACCACCTCTCAGTCAAATTCTTCACTTAAAACCCAAAATTACACTTAAAAAACTCGCACTCAATGCTCTTCACTTAAAACCCAAAATTACACTTAAAAACCTCGCATTCAATGTGAATGACTCTTTTTTTTAGTCTGTAGGTCTTCTTAGGAAACTACTCACATACCTTGAATTTGAATATTTTAAGTTTATTCTTTTATTTGTTTAGTGAAAATTTGACTAGGAGATGCTTGATTGCAATAAAAACCTACTTTAAAGTTGGTTTTGTTGGATAACAGGTTATTAAGATTTCTAATCTATTTTGGTAACATGATTCTTAATCTGTTTTGGTAACAAGTTATTAGGATTCCTAATCTATTTTGGTAACATGATTCTTAATCTGTTTTGATAACAGGTTATTAGGATTCCTAATTTGTTTTGTTTTTTGTTTTAGAATTCCTAGTCTGTTTTGGTTTTAGGTTTTCTATATATATGGAACGCCTTAGAAGAGATTAGGATCATCAAAAAGAGGAGTTATAATCAGAGATTAGAGAGACTTTTTGAGCATTGTGAGAGGGAGATATTGTGAGAAGTTGAGAGCTTTGGTTGAGGGTTAGTTTGTGAGTTTTGTGAGATTGTAACCCTTTGTACTCTCCTTGATTTAGTGGAATCTCCTCATCTTCTCCCCGTGGACGTAGGCAAATTATCGAACCACGTATATCTCTGTGTTTGTGATTGATCTGTCGTATTTTAGTTTTGGATTGTGCTAAATTATCGAACCACGTATATCTCTGTGTTTGTGATTGATCTGTCGTATTTTAGTTTTGGATTGTGCTCAAGTGTGATTGGTTATTCTTCTCCCGTGCTTACGACTTGTTTGGTGAGCGAGCACGCTTCCGCATAAGTGCGCGACAGGTTTATGTATAAATTAAAAATAAAATGTCGTTTTCGTATAATTACTCTACTGTTAAGGTGGTTTCTACGGAAAAAAACATTTAAAAAGTGAGGACTAAGACTCGTTGAAGCGACTGACAGAAGGAGAAAAATTCATTATTGTTTAGGTATTTTTTTCAATTTAACTAGCATTTTTCTCCATTTTCTCTTCTATAAAATAAGTTGCTTATATCATGTTATATAAAATATACAAGATGATGGTTGATTCTAACTAAGAATATATAGCACTAGGTTCACTTTGTTCCTTTGTCAATTACCTGCAATTTTCAATCATTGTCTATTCAACCTCCAGTTGTATCAACTATTTTGCCTAGTTTGTTTTTATAGAAAAAAAAATTTAATTATCCTGCCTTCCCATCTAAAATTACATTATATTTCTCGTCTAATGTACTTTTTTGAAGGTAGAAGAAAGTATTAAAATAGAAATCTAACCCTAATTTTGTAAGAAATCGAAGAGAAAAACTAGGTTTTGAGATGATTATGAGCGCACATTAGTAAGTATGAAAATTTGGGAGTATACAGATAAAACCCCCTACTTTGATTCAGCAAATCTAGATCAATTGGGCAAATGAGAGAATTTCAACAAATATAAGTTAAGAAAATAGAAAATAGAAATATATATGAAATAGTTTTTTTTTTTTTTATAAAGGGCGCACAATTCAACAGATGATCAGCATCTGATGCCAGAACCTACTAAATATCATACAAGAAAACTAACCTTGTTAAACGAGCATAAATCCACGCGCTTATGAACGAGCAGTGGCAAGGAGCTCCGACATGACACCAAACTTCCAAATGCATTAAGATGTATATTCAACATTTTCCACCCTTTTTTCTGGGGGTTTTTAACTTGTTGGATCTTAAATATAGGAGAAGTATAGAAAGGGTGTGATAATAATGGTTTAAAGGATGGTGGGTGGGTGGGTGGGAGTGCGTGTGTGGGTGTGGGGTGGGAGGCGGGCGGGGGGGGATGGAAGGAGATGGGTCAGTGGCATATCATTGAGAAACAGTGTGAGCCATCTTCAAGCCCCATTGACTTCTTATGGGATATTATAAGGGCAAATCACCCAAGGGCCTGTTTGTTTCGTAAAAAAAATACAGAAAGTAAGGGAAAGTAGGGGAAAGAAAATTGATATAGGTAAATTTTGATATTTTCCTCTATTTTTAAATGTTTAGTTTGTCAAAGTTATAAAAGAAAGTGTGGGAGAAAATAAGTTGTCACCATATTATTGGATGATATGAGTAATTTTTAATATTTTCCTCCACTTTTATTATTTAGGTTCTTTTCTTATGTTTGATTCATTCTTAAAACTAAGAAAATAGATGAGAGAAGATGAATTGTCATTATATTATTGGATGATGTGACTCATACTTAGGAAAATCAATTTCTTTGTTTTTTTTTTTTTTGAGGAAATTGATGGAAGGAAAATTTTAATGAGATGGGATGAGTTGTCATAATATTATTGGATGATGTGAGTAATATTTAAATATGGTAAAAAAATAAAGGAAAATGGGGTAAGGTGAGTTAGATGAGTTGATTGATATGATACATTTCTTGTGTTTAGTTTATTTTTAAAAATAAGAAATAAGATGAGATCGATGAGATGAGTTGTCACCATATTATTGGTTGATGTGGGAGATTTGTAAGGATGGAAAATGATGAAAGTGAAAGAAAATGAGTTTTGGAAAATAAAGGAAACGAACCAAACAGTCCCTAATTGTAAGGAAATTATCTTTTAATTTCAATCAAGTACCTCTGAATTGGGCTTTCGTTGCAATCAACTATCTCTTAATTAAATTTTCATTAAAAAGTAAAAAAAAAGCTTAGAAACTTCGAGTTCAACAAAGTGAGTTGTATCCTAACAAAACCTCAACTCTAAAAAAAATTGAGTCACATGTCCTGAATGTGAGTTTGTAATGGTCGTTATGGATTTTAGTAAAAAATTTGACTGTGAGGTGATTGATTGTGATAAAAACCAACTTTATATGCGGTTTATTTATAAATTAAAATTGAAAGGTGGTTTATGTATAATTACTCCATTTTAAAAATTGTTTCTAGAAAAAAGATCTATAATCAATTTGTATATGCAGCATAGCGTCCACACCTAATTTTGAAGTATAATTTGATCTCCAACGCCTCTAATATTAAAATAAGCATACAATATTAAACTTATATAACGAAAGTTTCACACCACAAACTCATAGGGTTGGCTTAGCGGTATAAGGTCCCGTTAAGCTCCTGTTGGAGGACAATCCATAGTGAGAAGTTGTTTTCAGCGAAAGTTGTTTCTATTGTCGATTCCATTAAAACTTAGTCGTTTACAGAAAATTACAATGAAAATAAGCAAAAATACAACTCTCGAGAAAATAACACAGAAATTGTTTATCAACTCCTGTTTTTGTGGGACTTTGCCTGTGCCGGGAGTGCTTTGACTCGTGGACCGCCGAATCACAGATCGTGAATGGGGCTTAATGATTCTTCCTTCGTTTATCGAAGTGAGAATTTGAAACGAAGATCTTATCAAAGTAAGACGATCGTTCTTCTTAAGATCAAGTCAAAGCTCGAATCTCAAGGAATCACACCAAGAACTCAAGTCTGCTCTCTCTCTGCTCTGGATTGCTTTATCAAGTGCTCGATCGGATGCTCTCTAATCAGCCCCCTTGGATGCTCTCTAATCAGCCCCCTTTTGTAACCATTGTCCCACTACCTAAATACCATCCTTTTATGATGTTAGTGGGTCTCCTTTCAGTTTGTAACCATCTCCCCACGTTTATGGTTGATCTCAAGTAGTTATGAAGCCAAAAAACCGTCAAAAAACGTGTTGTAACCAACTCTATGGCCGAGACAGTGAAGTCTGTCTCGCACTTCCGAGACAGTTTATACTATCTCGGGTATTTTGGTTCTAACTCACTCGTCTGATATCGGAATGAGATGATCCAAGATGCGTTGGAAAGCTGACGAAGAGATCTACAACTTTTGTCTTTTGATCTTCTTCAGATTTGGTGCGAGACAGTCATGACTGTCTCGCATTCCGAGACAGTGAAGACTGTCTCGCACTTCCGAGACAGTTTGTGTTGTCTCGGGTATTTTGGCTCTAACTCCCTCGTACGATCTCGGAATGAGATAATCCAAGATGCGTTGGAAATCTGATGAATAGATCTACAACTTTTGTCTTTTGACCTTCTTCATATTTGGTGCGAGACAGTCATGACTGTCTCGCATTCCGAGACAGTGAAGTCTGTCTCGCACTTCCGAGACAGTTTGTGTTGTCTCGGGTATTTTGGCTCTAACTCCCTCGTCCGATCTCGGAATGAGATGATCCAAGATGCGTTGGAAATCTGATGAAGAGATCTACAACTTTTGTCTTTTGATCTTCTTTAGATTTGGTGCGATACAGTCATGACTGTCTCGCATTCCGAGACAGTGAAGTCTGTCTCGCACTTCCGAGACAGTTTGTGTTATCTCGGGTATTTTTGCTCTAACTCCCTCGTCCGATCTCGGAATGAGATGATCTAAGATGCGTTGGAAAGCTGATGAAGAGATCTACAACTTTCCATAGGCAAAACACTCATAGAGTAGATGAGACACATATGGTACTTCACCCTTTTGTGGATAAAGCACAACTCCTAGTTGAGTTGTTCCTTTATCGTTTAGCATGTTTCACAGACTCGTACGCTTCGCCGACTTATTTCGTGTGCTTTTTAGCTTCTCTACAATATCAGATGATCTCCTTTGACTCGGATAATCCTCCTTGACTCGGATAGTAACATTTATCGTCTTTTTTTTTATCTCGAGCTATATGCGAGAACCTATAGGCAATTTTTTATGCCTACAGAAGTCCCTTGGTCGAATCCTCGAGCAGGTAAAAAAACACTCGAGCCAGCGCGAGAGAGGATTATTCTCATCCAAAAGGTGTGGGAATACCTCATGGGGAAAAAAAAAGTTTCACACCATGAAATCTCGCTACATAATACACACTCCTGTGTCCATCCCAACCGTTCATTGCTCCACTCATCTCCATACACGTACATCGAACTGAGACAAACAGAAAGATATTATACCTACTAATTCGAGTCAGGTCATTTTCCAATTACATAAACCAAATGCATTCTCTCTCTACTCAGTCTTCTCTGATCACGTGTACAAACATCAACAAAAAGCAAAAATAAAAATTTGGAGATCAACTACAAACGCCGGCCATGACCACCGTCTGCGTGACCGGAGCAACCGGCTACATCGGTAGCTGGCTAGTCCGTTCGCTCCTTAGCAAAGAGTATCTTGTTAACGCAACAACAAGAGATATAAGTATTTTTCTTCTTTTGCTTGCTTGTTTTTTTAAATATAAACAAAATGATTGTTTTTGTTTAACCTTAACAGGGGTTTTTATTATCTGAGTGTGATTAGATAAGGGGCTAGAGATCTTTGGAGATTGTGATGGGTTGAAGTTGTTTAGAGGTGATCTTAGTGAAGAAGGGAGCTTTGATGAGGCAGTTAAGGGTTGTGTTTGTGTTTTTCATGTTGCGGCTTCTATGGAGTTTGGCATAACGGCTGCTGAAAATATAGGTAATTGATACAAAAGTTATTTATTTTATTTTTAGATTGATACACACTGATCATATATTTTTTTTCCCCCATAATGGTTGATTGATCTTATAGTGCCACTTTGATGATTAGGGAAAATTTTCGATAGACAGCCCCAATTAATATTGAAAACCACGTGGGGATAGACTTTGAGACATGTGCCTCATCATACATTTTAAAGCTGGTGATTAGATTGTGCTGACACAATATTCTAATTGTAAAGAATTTATCACTCACAATAATACTTGTTGATTGTTCTAATATTGAATGATATTGTATACTGGTTACACTAACTTAAAATTGGTAGTGGAACACGTGATGTATTTTTCTTCTTCTGGATAGACCTACATAGCATATTTTTCCTCGATGACTATTTGGCATGTAATACCTGATATCTTAGTTCAGACTTTACGATATGTGAATACTAGTAGCTTAAAGTTAAGAAAAGCCTTTCAAGTTGAACACTTATGTCATTTTAGCTTTGATCTAATACACACAAAGTATATTTAGTACTATAAATTCATATAGTTTCGAGTTTCACCCAAATCAATTTTATGAAATCTTTTGAAATGTTGATATTATCGATACTAGCTAGCTAGATTCATGATAACAACACATAAGTTCTTGAAATTAGCTTAAATGTTTTAGATTATAGGATATAGGCTAATACATTATCTTTGTGGTCAAAGAGGAGTATGTGCAATCAAATGTACTAGAGCCTGCTATCAGAGGAACCATCAATGTCCTACAATCTTGTTCAAGAGCAAAAACTGTGAAGAGAGTGATATTTACGTCTTCAATCAGTACAATCACTGGTAAAGATGACAACGGCAATTGGAGATCAGTTGTCGATGAATCGTCAACCATATCCTTAGATCGAGTATGGAAGGACAAGCCTAATGGATGGGTATAAACTTCTTAGGAATTGTAAATTGGTTTTTTTTGACAAAATTATGAGAACCCTTATCTATGATATGTAGATGAAGGGATTTCTTATAATTTATCCTTAGATTTTCTTTTTCGTCTGATTTTGATGATTAATTGAGATAATCTCAGGTGTATGCCCTCTCAAAGCTTTTAACAGAAGAGAAGGCCTTTGAGTTTGCAAAGGAGAATGGAATAGATTTGGTTTCAATCATCCCACCCACAGTTGCTGGTCCTTTCCTTACTCCGACTGTTCCTGCAAGTCTACAAGTTCTCTTGTCTCCTGTCACAGGTACTTATAAACAAATATTTACATTTCACAAGATTTTTTTTTTCCCGCTTATACTAATGAGGATTTTTGTAGGTGATCCAAAACTGTATGCGATATTACTTGCAGTACACTCTAGACTGGGATCAATTCCATTAGTGCATATCGAAGATATATGCAACGCACATATCTTTCTTATGGATGCAACTAAAGCGAAGGGACGATATGTTTGTGTTGCGGGAAGTTGTTCTCTGCCTCAGATTGCTTCTTTGATTGACGGAAGGTAAATCATTGAATTTTCTGATTATTAAATGTTTGGATTCTGATATTTGTTGTGGTTTTGATGTTCATAGGGGTGATGAAGAGATTCATGAATCAAAAGCCTCTTTGGTTATTTCTTCAAAGAAGTTAACTGATTTGGGGTTTGAGTTTAAGTTCAGTGTGAGAGATATCGTCAAGGACACTGTTTCTTGCTACGTTGAGTGTGGTTTTCTAAAGAGTTGACATGTAGCTATGGTGAAGGATTGAGCTCATGATTGATATATTTCATGTCATCAAGGATCTGTTGTTAGTTGTGTTGAGTACTGTTTTTTAAAGTACGGTCTCCACCAAACTCTAAGCAAGTTCTGGTGAAGGAAATAAAAGTCACAACTGGCCCAGGTTACAAAGTTTGAACTTGATCTAAATTTTTGAGCAATAGATTTATGAAGTCATTGGATTATTGAACTCGAATCTAAACACTTATCAATATCCTTACGTGGTTTTAAGCACTAGATCTCTGAACAATTACAAGGAATACTAACGAGGAAAGCTATCCATTAATAAGGGAATTTTTTTTAAAAAGACCGATTTTGCTAAATAATTAGCAAAATCGACCATTTTGCTAATTATTTAGCAAAATCGACCTCTTTTTGGCCAACATGCCAAAAAGAGGTCGATTTTGAAAAACGCTCAGCTCAGAACATACGGGACTATTAGTCCCGTATGTTTTGGGTGAACTAATCATCGATTAGTTCACCCAGAAAATATACGGGACTACTAGTCGATGATTAGTTCACCCAGAAAATATACGGGACTACTAGTCTCGTATGTTTTGGTCACTCATTTCTTGTGCCCAACAGCACACTAGAGCATATATTTTGCACAAGAAATGAGTGGCCAAAACATACGGGACTAGTAGTCCCGTATGTTCTGAGTAGGGGCGTTTTTTAAAATCGACCTCTTTTTGGCCTGTTGGCCAAAAAGATGTCGATTTTACTAAATAATTAGCAAAATGATCGATTTTGCTAATTATTTAGCAAAATCGGTCTTTTTTAAAAATTCCCTCTGTTAATAATTAGGGGTTTTTATTTTTGGGCTCAATTATTCATCGTGATTTATCTATAAACCCAATAACTTTTTTTATTATTATTGAACCCAATTAACTTTATGTATTTATCTCTAAACCCAAATAGTATAACTTGGAGTTATAGTATCTTGTATTTATACATTTCAAGGTAAAAACTCCCGAAATACCTTGCCCTCAATGTCCACAAAACAGTTCTCTCTCCTCTGCATTCTCTACTCTTTCAACCACCCCCTACCCGAAATCCGTTCTCTTTCAAGTTCTCTCTCCACAAATATATCCGAGTTTATCAACTACTGATGAATTCAATTTCATTGCACCCAAACCTTATTGGATATACGTACTATATATCCAATCTAAGACTTGCTGGGTGATGACTCTTTCAGATCTTCTATTTCTTGAACATATATATTATGGTTCAGTCAATTCATAGTTTAATTTGAAGCATCTTTGTGAAGTAAAAGATGGTTCAAATACTGTGCAACATGATAGGTACACGGCACTTGGGCACAAGATGGTTCTAAAACCATATATTTCCCTTTTTTTTTTAATTCCTTTCAGTTAGAAAGTAGTAAAAATAGAAGAGGTAATGGGGGAAAACAGGTTTCACTAGAACAATGTGTTTATTATTACTCTAGTAAATGCCAGATGGACACATTGTGATTATACTTCATTATATGGTATTTAAAATTATATGGTGGCTTTTGTATTCTCAAATTAACTCTCATTTTTGCATGTTATCTTGAAGTTATTTAGAATTTTTTATTAACTAGACAATGTATCAAACCTGGTGCATGTTATTTCTGACAGCTGGTTGCGATTCACTATTTAGTGGGAAATTGCGTGGGCTGTTATAATGATTATGATCTACCAGTTGATTTATGCCTAGCGCTCCTACATGTGTGGGAGACTTTGGATCTACCAGCTGTTATAATGAACTATTATCCTTTCATAGTATATCGTGGATTTTATTAGAATCTTGGTATATTTATATTGCTTATGGTGCCAATCTTTTTGTTTTTCAGTGTTATATGGGAAGGATATATTCTTGATATTTTAAATGCATTCACTTTTGTGTCTCACCAGAAAGTAGGAATGCAATTTTAGCATTATATTTTTTTTCAGGCTTTTACATATTAATGTGACACATCGCCCTTGAAATTTATTTATTTCCTTTTGTCGTGTTAGTCATCGTAGTTTGACTTTGAACATTTGACTATGACTCATGTATTTGATGTTGGGATTTGTTCTTGTGCTTAATTGCCTATTTTTATAAGTTCTTTTTTTTTTTTTTTTTGAATACTTATTGCCTTACTTCACTAATGTCGATTGCCTTTTTTAGGTGCCTCACCTTGAACAATATAGGACCTTGTCGCCTTAGTTTTGCCTTTGACCTTTAAACCAATAGTTACCTTATCCTTCTCATGATTGTGTCTTTGAGCACTAGATTGTCAAGGTGGGAGATATTCCTTGCATTTGCTTCTTCATGAATCTTCTCAAAATGGAGCTGACGGTAAGTGATCTTATCTTAGAGTCCTAGATACGTAACCTGGTTCCCAAGGGTACTTAACTCAAGCAGACCTTTGTGCACCTGCAGGCAATAAGAGGAATAGGAAAGGTAAATGGTTCAATGGTATGATTCATACATTAGGAATTGTTTTGTTACTATGGTTTCTATTGGTCTATATCATGTCCTAGAAGAATGTGTATCATGTATACAAGCTAATTCATTGCATGAAGCAAAGTTACAGGAACTTCCTTCTCTTCCCCGCCTCCACCATAATCTAGAGAATCTTGGAGGGTTGCTTCCTGAATGCACTAACCTATGCTAACAGTATTATAGTTATGACCAGACAAACAGCTTTCTTCACTCTACTAGGAATTTCTCACAAAACTTGTGGCTTGGTTAGAATGGTTGATTTTTTTCGTGTAGCCTCTTCAATTTTCATTTCCTTAACTGACCCCGTTTTCGTACATAAAAACTAGGTGACATGAGATAAAGTTGTTCCATCTATAGCTACATAATGTAGGTGACCCCCTGTTCATCGGAAAATTTATGAGAATGTTGCGAGGAAATGTTACTAATTCTCCTTAACCGACTTAAGAAAAGAATGAATACAATCTCTCACAGTAATCTCTCTCTAACTGACTTAGAAAAAGAAATTACAATTTCTCTTATCGGTTTCCCGATTTACAAAAGAGAGAAGGAATCGACGGAGATCCTTCCCTTTGTTTAAAGCTGAGTTCTTCTTGGTGGCGATGAGAGTTTAATTCTTGTATCCCGTTGATGATCCGAGCACTTCACTTCGTGGAACACGGTCTATTCATTTTGACTTGACGTCGGGAAGAACTTGCGAGGCAAGTTTGGATCTCTAAATGAATTAAAAAACTCTAAACGAGTTTTAGAACTCTGTAAAAGAGTTAATTCTAGAAAAGGAACTGATCCTTTTTAACTGAAATAAACCGATCAGTTCTTCAACCGAAAATGGTTCAAAAGCCAAGCTTTCAAAGCTCCAAAAGCTCCAATCAAAGCCAAATTTAAGATGATCCAAAAAAGGGATTCTTTTGTAGCTCACTTCTCAGCTATTTATAGAGGTTTAAGGGGTGTAACCGCCCCTTTAAATCACTCCTTAATGAGGGTTTAATGTCCTTAATTCGTGAAAAATGATTTTGGAACCGTTTAAAACGTGTTTGAATCAGTCAAACACGAGATTCACGTTTTGGAAACGACCCTCGCGTTTAGAACTGAAACGCGATAGTGAGCTTCGCGTATTGGGCTAAAAACGCGTTAGTGAGCTCCGCGTCCTGATCTTGGAACGCGGCAATGAGCTCCTGATCTTGGAACGCGACGATGAGCTCCGCTTTTTGATCTTGGAACGCAGCTATGAGCTCCATGTTTTGCTCTTAAACTCGGCTATGAGCTCCGTGTTTGGCTTTGAAGAGACTATCAACTTGTAATCTCTTCTGTTAGAGTGTTGCAACAATTGTCATCTTGTAGTCCTAGCCTTTGGGTCTTTGAGATGTGAGAGTCATCAGTTTGTAACTCTCGTTTGTTATTGCGAAAATTGTCAGATTATAACTTCCATCATCAGTTGCTGTGAGAATCGTCAAATTGTAACTCTTATTGATTGATATAAAAATCGTTTGATTGTGACCTCCATCATTTGTGTTTTGTGGGGATTAGCTATCTATAGTGAATTTTAGACAGCTATAAATTTCTATAAATTAAGATGGTCAACTAAAATCAAATTTAATTAATTATAAAATGTAGAATAATTTTCATGAATAAAATGAAAAATTAATGTTATAAATTAAGTAATTGAGTAAATTACAAAATTATACCTTAAATTACTAGTGAATCACCATCAAAATCAAGCAACCACACTCTATGCATTAATAAAGTTGAGAATTAATTGATGAATTCATAAGAGTGATTAAAAATTAATTGATAGGTTCATAAGAGTGGAAAAATAAAAAAAAAAGAACAATGGAAGAGAGAACGGAATTAATTAACAAATGGAGAGAGGGGGGGTGGGGGGTGGAGCTCGCCGTTTTTTTCTCTCCCGCACCTAACATCGCATTTAATGCGATGTGGCGGCACCGAAGAGAAAGAACGCAGAAACAAAAGAGGAGAGTTGGGGAAAGGTATAATTAGATTTTTTTTAAAGGGTCAACATATGAAAGACTGCAGAAATTAAAAGAAGAGCGTTGGGCTAGGGTATAATTTAGTTTTTTTTTTTCTAATTTAAAGGTGGGCGTGAGGGGGTGGGGGGGGGGGGGGGGGGGTTATTCTATGCAGTATGCTGTATTAAAAGTTGGGCCTATATGTAAATAGATTAAGATACGTGGGTTCCATGACACAAAATAAATTAGTTGGGTTTAAAAACAAAACTAAGGTAAACTTTTAGGCCTACAAACAAAAACCCCCTAACAATTATTACGCACCTCACCATATTCTCGACACACTTCTCAAGGCCAACAAAATCCACATAAATCTCCGAAAAAAGAAAAAAAAAGAGGTAAAGTAACAACTAAACTCTAGACTGAAAATCAGAAATATCATCCGAAACACGACACACGTTGCAAAAACAAAACGGGGAAAGAATATAAGCTCAAAACTATAATATGTATAGAGGAAAAAACTGGTGAAGGCGAGAAAGGAGCCAAGCTTATTTCCAAGCTTTCTTGCCCCTGAACTGCTTTCCTGACCTTCTATCTTGTTTCTTCTTCTCTTGGCGAGAACGAGCAATTTTTCTTCTTTTTGCAGCAAGAGGCATCGCCTTCTTGTGCTCTTTTTGGCGATTGCTAAGACCACCGGTCTGCAAATTAATGCAAAGTTATATCAGTGTAAAAAATAAGGCACCGTGAAGATAGATTTTTCCAAAGTTCAATTAAATCATAAAATTCGACGTCTTCTGTGAGCAAAACTTTCTTCATAAGACAGAAATCATAAACGATTATGTTGTTGTTTTTTTCCCCACTCAACTGTGGTAGGAACAAGAATGATACGTAGTGTAAACAACTGAAATGGGAAACAATTTAGTAACAAACGGAATTAAGCATGCAAGCCGTAAAGCTAGGCAGATCACATTACAGAAAAACACTTTTTTTTTTTCGAAGGTCAAGGAGCCAAGGCACAAACCTGTAGGCACAAAGATATGACTAAGGATTCAAATAAACAAGGGTAATCAAATGAGACAACCCCAGCTACCTATTTTCCCAGCTACATTTTCACATTTTTATGACATTGCAATTTCCATTAGTACAACCTATAATCAAACCATATACCGTTTCCATTTATTTTTTATTTTTAAACTGAGCAACTACCAGAAAATTGCACTTTGAAACTCAAAAAAATACAGCTTAAGAAACACATTTTTTAAAGTAACGAAAAAAAGAAAAGAGAAAAAGCCAACGAGCCAAGATTTACATCTATATGGACCTCATATACGTCCAAGAAAACAGAAAAAAGCAATGCCGTGACTTTAGCTACAGGAGATGAGAAAAAGAAAGCAATATAGAATCGCATGAAACCTGCAACCAAAAAGAAATATCAAGCAATATAATGATACCTTTTTCTGCTTCACAGCAGCTCTGGCCTGGTATTTCCCCCTGTCTTCTCTCCCTGCTCTCACTAAAGCCAATCTCTCCTCTTTGCTGAACTTTCTTCTGATGTTCACCTAAACATAGTAAACATCAAAACATAAGTTTGAGAGGCAAACAAATAATTCCAAAAGGAATACCATACAAATTAGACAGTTATATAGAATGGTTATAGAAAACGTGACAAGCTATATAGAATGTTCTTGAGTCAAATTTCTATATAAATCAAAGGTTAAGATCGTTGGGGATCTTTAAGCGTCGTGCATTCTTCTTAACTACTTGGCTCAGACAATAATTCAATGGAAACCTTTGACATAAAATCTTCGGGGAAAAAAGAGGTTGATCAAAATTCGCTGGAGCAGCAGAATTCAAAAATCATTCATTTTGGCACTAATCAGAATACAGAATTTAGTGGCTTAACAAATGCATCAGGTTAAAATTACTTCCACATCATTCAATATCAATTTGAATCAATATCTGAATTAATTCAAGCCAATATTTACCTATCAAATTTCTATAATATAGTAAGATATGAAATCTTCTCCCAACATAAGCTATGGAAACTAGAAGCAAACTCAAACCTGCAAACTGGATAGAAGTACTCACCTCAAGCACAGCAGGATCTACACGCTTCGTACTTAGCTGCTCAGAAGAGGGAACTTTAAAAGGTGCTGACCTAGCATCGACTCCCTTCTTTACAAGACCTTGTTGAGCCAAGGCCAGCTTAGCTTCTTTCTTTGCCTAAAACGTTCAGACGCAAGGAACCAAATATTAGAGGTCCCTCGAATAAACATAAAAATTTCCAGACATCAAGATTCAGTTACTTATTTTAAATTATTAACAATTTTCAAGCAGAGTACCATCAATTCTTTTATACGCTGGAAATCTTCATTAGACAGAATTCCATCAGTTGTATCTGATGGCCCGACTTCCGTCCTGGCTACTGCTATTTTCTTCAAAGCTCGAAGACTAGTGTCTGCAGCATTCAAATGTCCAACATAGTCAACAGACTTCCTCTTCTGAGGATTCGACTTCTCCTCTTTTTCTCGATCTGTGTCATCACAATCATCAGACTGACCACCATCATCACCATCATCCCTGACATCTGCGTCATCATCATCTAGATCAGCATCACCATCTTGATCATTGATGCCTTCATCATAACCTTCAATGTCATTATCATCACTATCAGTATCACTGCCATGAACTTCCCCTGCATCATCTTCCTCTGCAGAATCCTCCTCATCTTCTTCCTTGGACACTGCATCTTCATCTTCTTCCTCCAAAACTACATTCTCATCATCGGTTCCAACAGAATCACTCTCTTCGACCTCTCCATTTTCTTCTGCAGAAGGGTTCACCTCACCATCCGAGCTACTGTTCATGGAGTCATCATCCTGAAGCAACTCTATGCCAGGGACATTACCAGCTACACTAACTTCTCCAAATGCTTTACGCCTGGCTTTGGGATCAATGGGGCGGCCACGGTCTTTCTTGATCAATAGTGAAGGGCATATCTGCAAGAAAGTAACAATATATGTCATTTTCATCAAGAACCATTTCATACCATAGAACATTTCCAGAGTCAGGTGTGCCACCAGACCTCTCTGAATAAAGTGATTAATGACCGAGCTGCTGTAGAGACTGCTTTCTCGTGTGATTTCTTGTACAGAACAAGGTCTTGGAGAAGATCTTCATCCATCAACTGGAAGACAAATAAGAGAAAGGAAAGCAAATAAATGAGAGAGAAAAATCAGAGGATTAAGAATTACTATTATTATTTAGAACAGGAATCACACAGGATATAGATAAAGGACCTTTTAGCAGCCACTAGTTGACAATGCTATTGGTATTTTAACAATAAGAAACTCTCTAAGTGGAAACAAAATCTCTAAGTACATGAAACATTCTAATTTCATTCTTATTCCGCTCAAAATTGTCAATAACACAGCAAAAAACATCTTGGTTGTGACTTGCTACAAAAACTATTCTAGCATTATCATATATAATACCTACCGCCACCTTGCACCCATTATGCAATAAAGTTGTATCACAGTATTGAATTTCTTCATTAAAAGAATCAAAGTGAATGGTGTGGTTCAAAGAATGGTGATTAAATTTTCAATAAAAGAATCAAAGTAATTACTAAACAATACGTCCCTGGATTAGAACACCCAAAAGAGAAAAAATTTTAATCTCAATGTTTAAACTACATATTTTTCCACAATTTCATCAGCAAAACTCTGTCAACTGATATGATCATGTGATGACACGTACACCAAATCTCCTCTATAAATACAAAATACGCATTTTGAATTGTATAAAAAGAACCTCAGTTTCACTAGGATTTAGAAGAAAAGATTTTCAGCTTATTATCTTGACCAGCAGTCGTTATTCACCTAACATATGAGATACATGCCAAATTTACAGTCCCAGTTACTCCCTAGTGGTTATTAATATTTAATAAGTCAGGCGCAGGATAATCCTTCAATAAACAAAGTTCGCATAGAACATCTGTTTCGTAAGATATTACATCATATATCTAATATAACCACAAGAGATCTGAAAATAAAGACAGAGTACTGCATATATAGTAAGATGCACTACATTAAAGCTGAAGGAAAGCATAACTAAACAGAAGGAAGTTAGAAGGAACAAGAAACGAACCAAAGGTATCCTCAGGCATAGCTCCCTTATGGCATTCAGTCCAACAGCAATGGCCTGTTGTAGACATGTTATTTATAGGATCAACAAACAATTTGCAGAAGAAAAAGAAGAAAAGTGCTTTATACTAGATAAAGATAGATAAGTACTTTTGAACCACTACTCAACAGAAAATGAAAGCTTTGATTTCTTATCACCATTGTAGACAAAAGAGAAACTTTCTTCTGTTTGTGGATCATGTGTTGACAGAAATCTCAAGTATTTTCATTTTCAATCGCTACACGATCAAGAACACTATGATCTAGAACTTTTCTTAGTTGTTACCAAAATGAAATATCAGTGAACAAGTTCAATCATGTAACTTCCTAATCCTAAATAGAATGACATAGGAATACATATGAAAACACCATATTTTTTAACATACACTTAAATAACTGAAGACTATTCAGCTTTAATTACCTGTTTTTCCTCTGATATTTCTTTTTCTATGTGATATGATACCTACCCTACCCAAACGAAAAGGTAAAGGCAATAATTGTAAAAAAATCTATGGTAGCATCAGATCCATTCACAATGATATACTGTAAATACCTCAGTGCGAGAGCGGTCATGCACAAATTGATTTACTATTTGCTTGAATAGTGGCTCAACAGCATCAGGTGGAACCTAACACAATCGGACCAGTTTTTTGGCTATAGTCAAAGGTAAAGAACTAAAAAAGAAACATTTACCAAAGAGATGAATAAGTTTATCAGGATCAAACCATATCATGACAGGCCTGGACTGCTGCAGCTAGCAACTCTGTAACATCACGTTGATGAGGCTGATAGGAAACAGACAAAAGTTATACCTGTTATAGTTTAAACCAGCACTTAAACCATGAATAACTTTTTGTACCTGAACATATCTTTGAAGAAAGGGATAAAAGTTTAACAAAACCAAGCGGTGCATCCCAATAGTTCTGGCAATTACTTTCATTATCATCATCCTAACCTGGAATTTGCAAACACAATTTCCATTGGATACTGGGAAATAGTCACATTAAACATATTAATGGTATGAAATGGATGTGAAAATAGGACTGATATCACAATGTGTGATTGATAGAAATCTATCAATCACCTTTCTAATTTCTACACAAGATAATTTACGGAATCTCTTTACACTAATAAATGTCCTTCATTCAACATCTGATAGTAAAACAAATAAGAACCAATAAACCATCACCGAGGAGATATCACATCTAGATGAGCTTTTATAAAACTCATATGAGCATTTTGAAGCAAAGAGAATCCTTTAGATAAATTCTAACTTAAACTACACCATTACCTTGCAATATTCATCTCAAACACCAGGGCAAAAAAATTAAGCAGGAAAAAATACCTCAAATCGTTCATTACATTTCCGAAGACGGGAAAACAGCTCCTCTGCGAAACCCTATTAGCACAAAGTGTAGCAATAACTCAGTCATGAGGACCCAAAAAAAAATAAGTCTACGTCACAATAACAGGATGAACTCCAACCTGTGCATTTTTTAGATGTGTTAAAGGAGAGTAAGAATTTGAACTACTCTTTTCTGACGATAGACGTTGTTGCCTTTTCATGCTGCGCATAACACGTTGCAGTTTTGCTTTCTTTTTTTTCTTACTAGCAGCAGTACCTTTGTGATGTGCCTACAAGTAGCAAAGAACAAAAACACTCATTTTATTGACAAACAGACTTTTGAGAATATCTCCAGTCCCGTGGAAACATTACAGTTCTGGCGAAGAGCTTATCACATAAAGCAAAGAATCAATTGCACACAGCATCAAAACAATGTAGTGCAAATGCTAACGTACAGCAAAAGAGTCTCCAAGTTATAGCATTCTCCATCCTTGTACGAAGGCAAAATATAAAAATAAAAACAATAATCATTTACATCCTCTCAAGTAAAAACCCCTCGCTCATTTTATTCTCTTGAATCTTGCACATTCGTTCCTCATTCAACGGTATTCTACATCTTCCAGTGCCACCATATATAGACCAGTGCCTGCTGCCACTGTTGTACCTTGTCCCTAGTTTCTCCTAGATCCTCATTCCTTTCTACTCAAGCAAGTTGGCACATCACTCAGTTGAACCAAGTGGACTACCAACCCATCCTAGTTATTCCACCACCTAACACTCTTCTTTACTACACTTACCTATGCTCCCATTGTTGTTACATATAAGGTAAATCAGGGAAAAGGTATTAGCATTCTGGTCAGAGGCAGATCAGGAGATTCAAAGGCCAAATAAGATGACCTCGTATGTGTATTATTGTACGCTTAGTGAGAATTATACATGTCGCTTATCCGTCACAATAAAGAAAAATCAAGTAGGTTTCCTGAATTTGCTATTGTGAAAACTGTTGTAACTTGTCACTATATAAAAAATCCGTATAAAGTACTGAAACAAAGATCAATGAGTAGAATAGGTAACAAAATAAAATCACCAAGTTATAAGTAAAAAAGGTAGAACTTTGCTTTTTGAGAATGCAGTCATATATTGGTTCATAGATTATTAG